TTGGAAAGATCCACTGTTCTGTAATAGACCCCATTAAAGTGCTGCTGCCACATTTCAGTGGTGATAGAGCCACTAAAATAATTTAATGGCTCAGGATGGGGCAATTTCCATTGGATTTTCTCTCCATCCCAGTAAGCTTCTATTAAATATATTTTATACATCTAATTCCTCCTGGTCTAATCATGACTTTATTGTCCATTACTTAAATTTCTTACATTTTCCCCTCTTTTGTGGTCCCATGAAAATAGAATTCTGAAAATCCATCCCTGCCCTCTGGAAGTTCCTCAGACAAAGGAAATTTTGGATTTTCACTGTGCTGTCACAGGGCTGGAGAGAAACCCCCCAAGAACTTTCTGTGATGGTGCAAATCTGCTCTGCATCCCCTGCTTAATTAAGCGCTAAAATCCTCTTTAATATTATTTTTTGGGGCGCCTGGCTTTGTAAAAGGCAGGCAGTGTAATTTCCCTGCTGTGGGAATAAATGAGATATTGCAATTAGAATTAGTTTAGAAAGGATTTATAAAGGATTCAGCCAAATTTCCTGAAGTGGGACATAAATAAAACTATTTTTGAGACATCTCATCAACACCCACCAGAGCCATCTCACTGTGAACCTTCACAGAGCTAAACCCACACCAGAACTCAGAGAAAACTGCTCTCAAGTGTCTTGAGCAGCCGAATATTCCCCCAGAAAGATCACCAGAAATGTCTTATCAGAGGTTTTATCATCAACCCCAAGAGCATTCCTGGATTGATTTTGCTGCTGCTGAACCACAAGACTCAAGTTGACATCAATAATCACATCAATACCCAACCCTCAATGCACACAAGATGAAAAAGAAGAAATTGTTGGTGTTCTGCTCCCACCACAGAAAGGATCAAGAGGATCCTTTTGTATCCCAGCAGCTCAAATCCCACGGGATAAGATTTGTAAGAGATTTAAGCTTGGATAATCACTGGGGATGATTATGTACACAAATAAACACAAACTCAACAACTATTTCTCCATAAAAACCACTTCAAAGACAAATTCCATGTTAGGCCGCAGCACTTTGAATTCCCTGCTCACATTTAGAACTGAGATTATCCAAAGCCAATGGGAGGGATTGAAAACAACATTTTTTTCCATGTTCTCTTCATTGCAAGTGTTATCTGACAGCCACATCAGCGTTAATGTTTCTCCCCAGCCCATCAAATATTTGATTTCTAATTAAGGCCTTTTCATCTCAGTTGGATTTGTCTCCTCATCTTTAATTATGTTTCCATCCACGCTGCTCAAGAGCGAGGATTTGCATTTTTACATTATATAGAAATCACATTGTAAATATTTATCAGATGGTTTTTCTGCTGCTCACAGATTTGGGAATTCAGGCTCACAGGAAAGAAGGAATGTTCCCATATTAACACCCCACTGCTTGTTAGGATTTTACTGCCTCCCATACATTGATTTTCCCTCTCCCTCAACTTCCCATCGCTCCTGAAGGTGCAAAACCCACCTGGGAATGTCACAGACACCAGTGGGAAAATGGGTTCTGCTGGGAGACCTAGGAACACACAAAGGCTGCAGAGAGATTTTGTTCTGTTTTAGAACTAAACCTTAACAAATCACTGAGGAAAGTCCCAGCTTTGAAGGTACCCACGGGGCAGGAAGGACAAACAAACTGGGGATTGGGCCAGAGGAGTTCCATGCTGGCTCTTTCCCCATAGGATATTTCTGTGGCATCAACCGAGGGAGAAATGGTGGGGAAATACTCATTCTTGTTTGGAAAAGTAGGTTTTGTGTGGTTACACCTCTAAAAAACCCCATTTCTTGGTAGGAAGTTGCCTATTGGAGTGCTGGGCTCAAGCGAAAAAATGGGAATTTTACGGAATCAGTTCCTGCCATTCTCGTGAGCATCCCAGTGATTTTTAGGAGAGGAACAGAGGTGCTTTGCCAGGACGGGAGGTCAGGAGTGACAGGGCTGGGGTAAGATCCGCACTAAAGGGCAGCGAGCCCCGAGTCCCGGGCGAGGAGCGGGAGAGCCCGGCCGCTGTCCGCGGTGCTGAGCGGGAGAGCCTGCCGCTGTCCGCGGTGCTGAGCGCCCGAGCGGGGCGGGAACCGGGCTGGCACATCCCCCTGGGCATGGAATGGTTCCTGGGAGTGGGGCTGACACATCCCCTGGACACGGAATAGTTCCTGGGAGTGGGGCTGACACATCCCCTGGACATGGAACCAGCCTGACACATCCCCTGGACACGGAATGGTTCCTGGGAGTGGGGCTGACACATCCCCTGGACATGGAACCGGGCTGACACATCCCCTGGACACGGAATGGTTCCTGGGAGTGGGGCTGACACATCCCCTTGGACATAGAATGGTTCCTGGGAGTGGGGCTGACACATCCCCTGGACATGGAACCAGGCTGACACATCCCCTGGACACGGAATGGTTCCTGGGAGTGGGGCTGACACATCCCCTGGACACAGAATGGTTCCTGGGAGCAGGGCTGACACATCCCCTGGACATGGAACCGGGCTGACACATCCCCTGGACACGGAATAGTTCCTGGGAGTGGGGCTGACACATCCCCTGGACATGGAATCAGGCTGACACATCCCCTGGACACGGAATGGTTCCTGGGAGCAGGGCTGGCACATCCCCTGGACATGGAATGTTTCCTGCAATGCTGCACCCAGATCTGCTGTCCCCACAGTAAGAAGGACGTGCAGCTGCTGGAGCAAGCCCAGAACTGGCCATGATGTTGATAAGGGACTGGAGATCTTTCCCTGTGGAGACGGGCTGGGAAAGTTGGGATTTGTCAGCCTGGAGAAGAGGAAACTTGTGCAGAGCTCAGAGCTGCTCCCAGGATCAGAATGGGGATACAAGGAAATGTAGAGAGACTTCACTGGGGCCTGAGTGACAGAACAAGGGGATGGCTTCAAGCTGAAGGAGGGGATACTGAGATGGGATATGGGGAAGGAATTCCTGCCTGTGAGGGAGGTGAGGCCCTGGCACAGGGTGCCCAGAGCAGCTGGGGCTGCCCCTGGAGCCCTGGCAGCCCCAAAGCCAGGCTGGACACTGGGGCTTGCAGCAGTCTGGGACAGTGGAAAGTGTCCCTGCCATGGCTGGGGTGGGATGGGATGAGCTTGAAGGTCCCTTTCAACCCAAAGCATTCCGTGATTTTGGAGGAAAAAGCAGAAACCCATCTAGGAAGGGAGGTTTTGGCACTTTTCTACACAGTAGCAAAAAATAGAATATTTACAGGGAAGAACATTATTGCAAATCTGTCATACATCTGTCTTCTAATTTCTTTTTAGCAAAAATTAATATGCAAAAGGAAAACAAAAGCAAGTGAAGAGAACACAGCTCCAGCCTGTGTGCCCTCATACCACAATATGATCAGTGATCAATAGCAGATCTTTTCCAACAGTTGAAAAGCTGTTTGTACAATACACACACAAACCTTTCTTTGCTACAGAGCAGCAGACAAACAAGAACTCTCCATTTCCCATCTCACCCCTCAAGCTCTGACACTGCACCCATTCCATCAATTCTCTCCATGGGAAACCCGTGTGGTACCCCGCAAACACTCGGAGATGGAGCCATCACTTTGTCCCCACAAATACAAAACTCCCAACTGCCCTTCCTGAGCTCCCAAACATCCCAAAGTGTCATTGTCCAAACGAGATCAGTGCTGGGGAAACTCTGGAGCAGCCGGGAGTGTCCCTGCGCAGGGTACGAGGGACCTCTGGTGGAAGGAGATTCCAGTGTCAGAGAAACATTTATATCCTCATTTATTCCTCTAATTAAAGGAACCAAACCCCTTGAATCCATGAAACGTCAGTGTCTAACCCAATATTCCAGCCCACTTTATCCTCCTGCTCTCCAGCTCCCAACTGAAAATAAAGCAGTGCCCTCAGGAATATTTTATTAAAATCTGTTAAGCGCCCAGACAGAAATAAACCAAAATAAACCTGCTGGAAACAGCTTCGCTTTGGGCCTGGATCAACACTTGGATCAACCCTGGAAAGAGTCAAATTACCTCCAAAATTCCAAGATCAGAGTTTTTAGTGTGGAAAAGCTCTGTTTGATCAGTGTCTTGGGCTTCACGAGATTAAAAATCACTCCAACTTTGCAACTCAAGGCAGAATTAAATTTATTCAGCTTGAAGAACATCACTAACAATGATTCCCAGATTTTTGTAGGGATTCAGAAGCCACCAAATGCTGTCCTGGGAGTGACAACAGCCACTGGCAGTGAGGATCCAACCAAGCTGTTCCCTCCTCAGGAGCAGGGAGACATTTCAGCACCACACACCAGGGCAATTTCTGCTTCTGTAATTCCTGAATTATCCCATGAGCTCCAGTCTGCAATTCCCTCAAACCCTGTCTTCTGTCACAAAGCTGAAGGCAGCATCTCCAGACTCTGTATTTATTTATTTATTGACCTAAAAATCCCAATTCAGAGACAGTCACAGAGCTGTCTGTATTCCAGAAATGGGATCTGTATTTGGGGTTTACTTAGGGTCACCTTAAAAAGAGAAATGCAGCCTCCAGCCACTGGTTAAGGTGGAATATTTATTCCAAAATCAAATTTAATTTTGATCTCCTAAATCAAAATTTCAAAGTCCCTTTTAGCCTCTTTTAGTATATTTTAGTCTCAAAAATCAACCAACAAAACAAAACCAAATATCAAACCACATTTCTTTGCATGAAAAGCACCACAATTTGAGGTTTTTTGGGAATACAATATCCTAAACACACCGGACACAGGACCACTGGGAAGCCCCTTTTAACCAGCATGAACACCTCCCAAATCTGCTGAATTCCAGGTCTGATACCCACAGTCACACATCCTGATGAGCCCACAAGAGGAATCTCTGCCTGGAGCTCATTTGAGACACTTAAAAACCCATTTTGAACCCATTACCAACCCCGTGAATGCACAACTGAGCTTTCACTCATCCCAAACCCCAGAAAGGAAGCCAGGGAAGGAAAAGGAGGAATTCCAGCCGGACTCACGGGGGTGCTGCTGTCGGAGAAGGTGTTCATGCTGACAGACCTGCTCATCTTGCCCGAGGCCAGCGACCTTGGGGACACTGGGGACATTGGGTACGTTGGGGACATCGAGGACGGGCTGCCCTTGTCCCGTAGCTCCGGGGATGGGGACAGGTCCTGGCGCTGCAGGTGCTCACGCCACGCTCGCTGGATGCTGAGGGAACAAAGGGTTTCAAAACATTGGGGTTGGGGTTTCCGGTGTTTTGTTTTCCTGTCTGGGTAAGGATCACGTGGAAATATCACTGTGGGGTTTGTATAAGGCACCACTGGGAGAATTCAGGATATTTTTGAAGGAGAATCAGGGAATTCTGGAGTGGTTCGGGTTGGAAAGGACCTTAAAGATGATCCAGTTCCAAACTCTTACCACATTACTCAGAGTCCAACCCAAGCCCAAAACCCATGGAAGTGATTTCAGTTGAGGCCATCCAGAACTCAGAATTTCTCCTACATTCCACCATCAAAATTTAAATATCCATTTGTCCATTTAAGTAATTAACAAGCTTCTACATCTTATTTTTATAACACATTTCAGATTATAATTCAGACACAACTGGAATTTGAGACCCAGAGCAGTATCATGGAATTATGGAATTCCAGAATGGTTTAGATTGGAAAATGTCCTCTCATTCCATCCTCTGCCATGGGCAGGGACAATTTCCACTATCCCAAGTTGCTCCAAACTCCCTCCAACCTGGCCTAGAACAATTCCAGCATCCACTTCTCTACAGGATTAGCTCCTTGTAGGATTTTTAAGCAATTGAGGTTTATTCACTGGGATGAGCAGTATTTACATATTTATAGTTACATATTTATATTTACATATTTATATCTACATGTGTTTCTATTTTAAAGCCAGAGAATAGAACTGAGCTTAAGTCATAATTGCCCTCTTAGATAGTTCCCTGAAAATGGATTATTTTTATCCAGCTTTTATCTGCATGACTAAAAGCTTAAAAGACACTGGGTTTTAATTTGAAACTTCATGTCCTTTTAATATTTTAATATGCATTAATATTTGAATGGGCTGTAAGTGAGGCAGTTTTCTGGATGGAGGCGATTCCTGTGCCAGGGCTGGAGGATCCATGATGGGAGAGGCTCCAGAAGGAATCCTCGACTCTGATATATATGTGGGGAAGTTGAGTTATTCAAAATCAAGACTTCTAGAATAACTAACCCCAGGGGAAACTCTGTATCATGTACAGCAAAAATTAAAGTTATTCTAGAATTCAAAGAGAGGATTGATTTAGGATATGAGGAAGGATTTGTTTCCCATTAGGGTGGCAAGGGGGAGATTCCCCACCCCTAAAAACACCCCAGATCAGGCTGATAATGTGCCCTTATTCATGCCATCTCTGCTCAGGGCTGGACTAAAAATTCTTTGAAGGTCCCTTCCTACCCGGACCATTCCAGGATTCCGTGATTCGGTGGCGTTTGGAAGTTCGGAGCTCATTCCCAGAGCCTCTGGCTGTTCATCCCTCCCTTGCCTTGCCCTAGGTGTCAGCGTGTGCTTGGCTGAGTCGGCTTCCCTGGGAAATCCCACTCCTCCTAAGCAAATTCTGCTCCTCCCCAGCGCAGAATTCTGCACTTCCAGGGCTGCTCCTGACACAGAATTCCTGGGGAACTGATGTTAAATGGGAAAATCGCCACGGAAAAGGCTCTGTGCTGCCCTTCCCTTCTCAGGCTTCTCTGCACACAGGGAAAAATCCAAGAGATTCCCAAATATTCATGAGTTACGCTGAGGAAATGACAAAAAGAGTGCAGAACTGATGTGTAATATTTAAAACTTGGTGCAAAGGGAATCTGTGTGATTCTGTAATTCAGCCCAGGATGGTTTGGGTGGGAAAGGAATGGAAATCCCATCCAGGGCAGGGACACCTCCCAGTGTCCCAGGCTGCTCCAAGCCCCATCAAAGCTGGCCTGGGGCACTGCCAGGGATCCAGGGGCAGCCCCAGCTGCTCTGGGAATCCCATCCCAGCCAGGAATTCCCAATTCCCAATCTCCCATCCATCCCTGCCCTCTGGCAGTGGGAGCCATTCCCTGTGTCCTGTCCCTCTGTCCCTTGTCCCCAGGCCCTCCCCAGCTCTTCTGGAGCTCCTTTAGGCACTGGAAGGCCACAATTTGGTCACTTTAGAACCTTCTCTTTTTTCTAGGCTGAACAGCCCAAATTTTCCCAGCTCCACATTCTTAAACCTAGAGAACTTTTCCAATTTGCTAATTGGAAGCTCTTTTATCCAGTTACACAGCAATCCAGGATGGATCCAGGGTGGATCCTGCAGCTCAGGAATTGGACACCCCTTGCTGCATTCCAAGGCAGATCCAACACTTTTCCTTACTTACATTTTCACTTTGGATTCCAGGGGCTGGAGGTTGATAGGATATTCCTGGATATTATTTTCTTCATCCATGGTGAGTTGATGGCTACAGGAAAGAAAAGGAAATGAGTTTAACGTGGTCCAGCCTGACATTCCTGCAATCCTGTAATGAATTCCCTAATCTGGACAAGAACTAACAAGAGCTGCTGATCAGGGGGTGTTGCTGTCTTTGGAGGAAGTTATCTGGATCTCTGTGTCCAGCTACCAATAAAAAATGGGAATTTGGATCCAGTTTTCCAGTGGGAACCTGCCTGAATCCCTGTTTCAAATCTCCCAGCTGCCACAGCTTCAGGGACAGGCACAGCCAGCAAAAGAGTTGCTGTAAATTAAATAAAAAAACAAACCCTGGCAGATCTAACAGATATTCCTGCTAAATTAACTTCCATCCCCATGGCCACGCTGGAAAAGCTGAAGAGGGAAATGGAAAGGAACAATGGGAATCCTGGCAGCAAATGAGTTACAGCAGCAAAAGCCACATGGAGGGGGTGAGGAGTAAATTCTTTGTAATAAATGATGGCCAAGGAGCTGTTGCTGGGAACTGATGGCTCGAAGAAAGCAATGTGAAAATGCTGGAATATCCAAATCCAGCATCTGGGAACACTGCCCTGGATGGAGCAGCAGCATGGATTGAATGCAGCTCTCAGCAGGGAAATTTGGGAAGTCAGACCCCGACCTGGGGAGTTATTTTGAGACTAGCTGGGCACTCAATGATATCATTGTCAGAAATTGTCCTCTTGTAACTAAAAATAGGGGTTGTTAATGGGAGAAAAGCAAAATTTGGGACAATGTCTGTCACAAAGAGGATCCCTCAGCAAAGGGTTCACACCTTGGAAAATCCATTTCCCTTTCTCATGGGTGAGATATTTTGGAAAAGGCACATTTACCTTTGGAGTGAGTCTTTGCCATCATTGACCTGTTCCAGGGTGTGCTGGAGCCTCCTGAGTTCTTCCTGCAAGGACAGAGAGAGAAAAAATAATTATTTTTATGAGAAGCCCTTGGAGATTCCCTCTCAGTCTCAAGACAAACCAAGTTTTGAGTCAACCCTGAAAAAAAACCAATCCCTCAAGTGCCTCCTACAAGATTTTAAACTCAAAAATCCGTAACAATGACAAAGAAACCAATATCTTGTTGATAATCCAGCACAAGTTTGAAAGGAAATATCAGAGCTACAAAAATAGTACACAAAGTAAAAGAGAGAGATTTTCTTTCCCATCTTGGATGTCTTTGATTCCAGAGATGCTCCTGGGAATCTTTGTTCTGCAATCAAAACCTATTCAGGCCCTTAATGAAGAGATTTCCAGCCTGCACCAGTTCCTGTTCCAGCAGTTTTATGTGGCAGATGTGGAGCTGGGAATCCCCACATCCGTGGTAATTCCCAGGAAAAATCCATCCCTGGCATTCTGCACAGAAGTTTGGCTTAAAAACTGGAATTCTTCTGAGGCACAGCTCAGTTCAGAGATAACCACACAACCTCTCCTTCCCCCACATTTTCCCTCTGGCAGTTTTTGCAGCCTCCTCCAGAGCTGGGTACAGTAATTTAGAATGTGAAAACAATTTGCAGTTGACTTTATCCATAGCTCAGGGTGCCAAGAGCTGCCTGACTTCCATAAATCACTCCTGGTGTTTGACATCATTTTCCATTAACCCCGGGGTGAAGACTGAGCACAGAACAAAAAAAGCAGAAGGCAGAATTGGTTGTGATGTTTTTGACAATTCCGAATGAAACCTCACTGGGCAGTGCCTCTAAAAGCTGGGATAAAAGGCAGCTCTGGAGGGGGCACAGCCAGGTTTGCATAATTGGGAAGAGGAGGAGACAGGAAATCGATCCTAATTTCAGTCGGGCATCAGTAACCGCGGGTATCGAGGGATTGATGGAGCTGCGGGATTGATGGAGCTGCCCGTGGTGCTGAGCCCGGGGAAAGGGCCGGGATGCTGCAGGGACACCGGGGGACACAGGGACAGCCAGGATGGTGCCACCCCAGCCCCGCACCCTGCCCAGAGCCACCCAGCTCCAGGAATTCCATTGGAAGGGATCCATGCTCTGCTGGAACCCAGGATGAGTTACGGGGCCTCTCTGAGCCCGGATAAAACAAAAATATTGTGAAACTCCCTGGGCTTTCCTTTTCCCACCTTCAGCTGCATACCTGGACAGGGCACAGAGACACTGAGGGGAAAATATCCAGGAAAGCTTGAGGAGCACACTCAGAGCAACCCGAAGTGTCATTTCCTAGTCCTTAATGTGCTCATTCCATTTATCCATTAATTATTATTCAGCCTGATTCTACCCAGCATCCTGGGGTTTGTTAATTTTATATTTTTTCATTTTTTTATTGCTTTAATTGCACGACACACTTGAGTCTGGATTATTTTGGAGAGGGATACGAGGAGGTTGGAAAGCAGGCAGAGTGAATTCCAGCATGGCAGGGAGGGGAAGGCAGGGGGAAATCTCACATGACAGATCCATTTCTGAATTCCCAGGGGAGGGGCTTTCCCCAGAAAAAGCAGGGAGCTCTTTTTATAGCTCCTGAGCCTGTTAATTCTAGTGACAACAACAGAGGAGTGTTTGAAAACTGAAAGGAAATCTATTAATCCAATTTTCAGCTTTTCAGTGTGGGGGAATGTCTGTAATCCTCACAAAAGAGGGATGAACTACTTTGGGAATCAGAAAGTTCCTGTAAAAAGTAACAATCCCATCTATAAAAAAATATTATTTCTACAGTGTTTTCTTCCTGGGGTTTTAGGAGGAAACCTGAGGAGTCTGGGGGGTGGAGGAGGCTCAGGGGGCCCTTGTGGCTCTGCACAGCTCCTGACAGGAGGGGACAGCCAGGATGGGATTGGGATCTGCCACCAGGGAAAGGGACAGGAGGAGAGGGAATGGCCTCAGGCTGGGCCAGGGCAGCTCAGGGTGGAAATCAGCAGGAATTTCCCCATGGAAAGGGGGCTCAGGCCTTGGAACCGCCCAGGGAGGTTTGGAGTTCCCATCCCTGGAGGTGTCCAAGGAATTCCTGGCAGTGGCACTCGGTGCCCAGGGGGGGATCGGGCACTGGTTGGATCCTGGAGGCTTTTCCAGCCTTGGTGATCCCGGGATTCCGGCCATGTGCACAAATCACAGCACTGGAAAAGAGAAATCCCCTGCCAAGTGAGCACAGAGGGGAGGAGGAGGCTCTGGAGCTGCTGAGCAGTGACATCTCTGCTCTCAGACATCTCTCTCTCCTCTGATGGCTCCGAAGATGGTTTTAATTCCGGTGGTTGCTCGGCAACTGCATCCACGTGCGGCAGCGCTGCTCTTCACCTGGAGCAGGGAAACACCGGATGGTCCTCAGGAACATTGGGATGGTCCTCAGGAACACGGGAATGGCTCCTCAGGAACAATGGATGGCTCCTCAGGAACACTGGGATGGTCCTCAGGAACATTGGGATGGTCCTCAGGAACAAACACCGGGATGGCCCCTCAGGAACACTGAGATGGCTCCTCAGGAACACCGGGATGGCTCCTCAGGAACATTGGGATGGCTCCTCAGGAACCCTGAGATGGCTCCTCAGGAACACCGGGATGGCTCCTCAGGAACAAACACTGAGATGGCTTCTCAGACACACCAGGATGGTCCTCAGGAACACCGGGACGGCTCCTCACAAATACTGGGATGGTTCCTTAGGAACAAACATCAGGATGGTTCCACACAAACAAACATTGGGATGGCTCCTCAGGAACACCAGGATGGCTCCTCACAAATATTGGGATGGCTCTTCAGGAACATCAGGATGGCTCCACAGCAACATTGGGGATGGCTCCTCCCAAACCTGAGCAGGACCAGGAGACAGTGACAGCAACAGCCACAAACGCTCCTCCTCAAGTTGTGCCTCTGGTGCCCAGCAGCAGGAAAAGCCAAGGAAACTCAGCTGCAGGTGGAACTCCTCCCTCCTCCTCCCCACCAAACCAGTCTGGAATTCCATGGCATGAGGCTGCCTCCAGTGTCCATGGGATGTGGAAATGCTGCTCATGTTGGAGGCTGGTGGGGCATGGAACTCCAAGGAAGCCTTGGAGCACACACTGATGATCATCCTGGTCCTGGATCTGTTTTCCCAGTCCTGGATCTGTTTTCCCAGTCCTGGATCTGTTTCCCCAATCCTGGATCTGTTTCCCCAGTCCTATTTAGCACACCCAAACCTAAGCAGGTTTCAAGTGGCAGCTGAAGCAGAAGGGTTTGAACTGGGATTTTAAACCCCATCTCATCCCATCACCTGCCACACTTCCACAGCCTGGGATGCTCCTGCTAATCTGACACAGGGACTGGGATGCACAGGACCCTTAAAATCAGCCCAGAGCTAAAATAACCAACATTTTTCCCTCAGAGGTCCCACTCCAAAGCCAAAGCAGAACCAGGAATCATTGCCAGGGTTTCCCAGCTCCACAGTTATCCCATTCCCATTCCCTCGTGTGCTGTGGGAAGTGCTGGGCATTGAGCACAGAGCAGCTCTGGGTGTTTGACTGACAGAGTCCCCCAGCATCCAGCAGGGCCTTGGGGTAAAGGGCATCCCAGGAAAACCTGAAATGCAAACAAAAAAAGCAGCACGGGAAGCCCTGAGATGGAAACTGGTCACATTCAGTCTGGAAAAGCAAAGAGCTCCTCTGGTATGAATAATTCACAAACAGCCTCAGACAAATGATCTCAGGTCTGGAAGGAAATGGGAAAACCTCTGGAGGCTGCAGTTCTTTTTATTCCTGCCTGGTTCCTGCTGAAAGCTGTTTTCTCTGGGGTTATTTTTTAGTCTTTAGAAAAAGAAATATATATATGGATATCTAAACAGTTGGGTTGGATGTTCAGAGAACACAGCAGACCCCAGAGAAATCCTTTCATTTTATTTTCATCTCTGACTGGTGAATTATTCATTAACAGGAATCACGCAATGGGGAAAAAATTAAAAATTGGCAAATTAGTTTTCATTTGTTGACGTTAATTATTTAGTGTTCTTCCCTTTTATTAGAGGAACCACAGAGGGGGATTAGTCTTGTTCTGGCACTCCGAGTTTGCTCCCCAGACAACTCCCAAATCAGCATTGCTGAGGCTACTTCTGTGGAAAATCCATGGGAATGTGACTCCAGGGCTGAGGTGTTGGGGCAGAGCTGGATTTTGGAATTCCAGAGAAGCTTTTGGATATTTTTCCACAGCACTTTGTAAAAAAATTAGTCAGATGGGGCTTTATTTCCAGATATCACTCCAGCCATGGCATTAATGGGGATCTCATGAATTAATCTCCCTGAGCTCAGCTACAAACACCCAACATTCCCATCAACCTCATTGCAACAAAGAAATTTCCTGGTATTTAATGGGCAGTGGGAATGGAATTGTCTCAGGAACAGCTTGGTTGGGATTTTGCAGCCTCACTGCCCTGAAGAGCCAGAGGCAGGACAAGTTAATCACAAATGCTGGAGCCAGACTAAACCTGAGCTCAGCCTCCCGAATCTCTCCCTAATCCTGCTGCTCAGCTCACAGGAGCTGCCAGGAGAGCTCGTCCAACACCTCATCCAATTTTTCTTCTGTCAAATGTCAGTGGCTGCTCCGTCCTGAAAAGCTGGAAAAGCTTTGATTCCTCCCAGCTTTTCTACCAGGCAGCCACACAAATCCCAGGCTCAACCCTGATTTTTCTGAAATACTCTCCAAATGAAACCTGCCACTCATTTATATAAAAATGTACAAAATAATAATAAAATAATGATTGAAACTCCACCTGGCTTTGTGGGAGTCCCCATTATGACCAAACTATACCTATTTCTAGCTTTTTAATGAGTTCCTGAGAGATAAAACTGCTCCTGGTGCCTGAGAGTGAATAATCCCAGCTGAGCCTTTCCAGGGAAGTTCAATTCTTCAATCCCAGAGCCCAAATCCCAGTTTTCTGCAGCAGCTGGTCCTGCTCCACTGAATTTCTGTGCTGGGAAATGTGAAGGTGACCCCAGGACCTGCAGCATCCTCAGTTCAGTCAGGTGGGCTCAGCTTGTAATGAACTGAATTAAACAATCTTGCCTTGATTGGGTTAATTCTGCCCTCCCTGGCTGAGGTTTTTAGTGCATTTTCACAGAGGGAAGGGGAATTTTGCCAGCCCCAGTTTCCTGCAAACACACATCCCTGGGAGGATTTCAGACACATCCACCAGGACAGGAAATTAAAGGTCTCAGCTCCCAGACATCACAAGATCAGATCAAAACCCAAATCAAATTCCAGTGTTCACAAACAAAACCTGGGATAATGAAAGGAGGCCTGGCCACGGGGAGGAGGTGGAATTACATCAGCTTTGTTGCCCTTCCAGGACCTTTCTCCAGACTAAACCAAAATGCTGCATAATTGTTCAGAGTAAAAGAACCCCCAAAAGTGACCAAACCCCCCTCCCTCACTGCCTGCTCTCCCTGCAGTCTCTGCCAGGAAGGAACCTCTGCTTTGGCTTTCCAGGATCAAACTGAATTCAGATGTCAGACAGAGTAATGACAAAACCCTTCCTTTGAAATGTCTCCTTCCTGCCTTTATCCAAGGGACAGAAAGGACAGAAACTCAATCCACCAGAGCTTTGAACTCTGCCATCCCAAAGCAAGGCAGAGCCCTGGGGCTCCCCCATGGCAGCCCTCACTGATTAAATCTCTTCTTTTCCAGCTGCTTTCAGAACACTTTTAATCCTCAAAGTTCACAGTGACACTAAAGACCTTTCCCAGCTGAGCCTGAGAGTGAAACATCCCAATTTTCCAGGTTTAATGCTACAGGAATGTCAGGAACACCACAGAAACAACACACAAGCCCTGCCAAGCCGCACTGGGGTCACAGGAGTGAACTTCATCAAGTGAAAAGCAGCAGAAAAGGTCAAACGGGCACGAGGAGTCCATCCCTGTGGGTCCTGTGTGTGCAGGGTGAGGGGAGGCTGGAAGGAAATGTTCTGGAAATGTTACATTGGAGCTGCTGCTTTAATGCTGATCTTGGACCTCTGGCAGCTGCAGCATTCAGGGGAGGGATCTGTCGCAGTCTGGCTCAAAACAAACCCAAATGCTGGTGCTGGGTGTTCTCCTGCTGCCTCTGTCAGGGCTTGCTGGAGCTGGGAAAGGTCAGATCACGGCTCCCACAGGAGAGGCTTCCCAGGGAGAGCAGCTCTGGCTGGGCAG